GGACTTACAGTGACATGAGCCAAGGGGTCGCCGAGGACCCAATTCAAGCAGGGCAGAGTGTGGCTCAGTGGGCTAAACCTGTGTGCCTGTAATCAGAATGTCATTGGTTTGAACCCGGACTCAGCACATATGTGGGTCCTTAAGCAAGGCCCTTAACCCCCAGCTCCCTGGGTACCCCAACAGGTGTCTGCCCTTTACAGACAGCGTACTCTATAAAGAGCAAGTTGAGGCCAGTGTAAAAAGACAATTTCCCCACAGGAATCAATAAAGCATCAGTTATCATTAAACATCTAAAAGGTCGTACTTGTTGAATTACTGGTGTGATCCAGGTATTTCTGTTCGATTGTGTTGTTTTTGACAGGGAGCTGGATTTGAATTTGTTGTTAAAAGCCATTGTTTGCACGAGCTTTGCGTTCCCGCATGCCCCGTATGCCCCGTATGCCCCGCATGCCCCGTATGTGCCCAGAATGCGACTCTCACAACCTACCAGCACTGCTGCAGCTGCACAAACAGGCTTCTCGTTGTTCCCGGTACAAGTTTAATATTTTGTATATTCCGTGAAATCTTTAGAGTATGCTCAGGACTCAGGATCACTCCCCATATAACCGATCTGCAGGAAGAAAGAAGTAATTTTGCTTCGAGGGCACAAATAATGTAGTATTATACTATTACTTATGCATTAATTAACCAAGAACTAAGTCTTAGTTACATACTGATCTAATGTTAACTCCTCATTAATTAATCATGATACTAATACTAATGTCGTTTATTCAGGAGATCGTGATGCGTCTTTCATCTCAAGTAGCAGCTCATAATAATTTGTACTTCAGTAGTAACTGAATTATGCCTAATTTGTGTCCATGTAAAGTGTTACTGCAATAATAATAATAATAATAATAATAATAATAATAATAATAATAAAAGCCATGGGCTGCAGCTATCTGACATGCGATGAGTATCCCTGCCTGTGGGTTAGGTCAGAGAACAGGATTGTTGTGCAATGCTTATTTGGAAATTCAGAAAAACTAAGCCGGTTAAATGACGAGAAATAGTAAATACAATATTCCAGGCAGCATAGGGCACAAGGCCAGTCCATTGCAGGACACACAGATGCACGCATTATGGGCGACTGACGGGCACGTGCACATGGGTGGGGCCACCAGGGTCCTAGCCGACAGCTGATTGGCCCGTGGAGTGGCCCTCCCCTGTCACTCGCCAATACAAAACATATTATTGGCTAATGATAAGGTTGGTCCCTCTGTATGAATTTACCTTAAAGAATTATAGAATCACCCCTAGCAACTGAGCCACTCCACCACCCTGGTGCACCCATCCATTTCCCAGTCGCTTATCCTGGTCACGATCTCAGTGAGCCTGAAACCCTATCCCTAGGAACCGCAGGACACATGGCTGGGATCCACCCTGGCTGAAATAATGATGATGATCGCTGTCGACTTCCCACCCCCACCCTGCCGCTTACTGCATATTTCACTATCTGTTTACTATCAATTTACCGTTTATTTATTTGGGTGTGGTGGTGCAGCGGTTAGCACCGTTGTCTCAACATGTGTGGAGTTTGCATATTGTCATTGTGTCTGGTTTTCCCTCACAATCAATAAACTCACCAGGGTGAATTCGAGAAACCGTCTGTGTGTTTCAGTGGAGTGTGAATGTGCCCTGCGATGGGCTGGTGGCCCTGTCCTGGGTTGTTCCCCACCTGCTGTCCATATTCTCTGGGATAGGCTCCAGACCCGTATGACCCCGAGTAGCACAAGTGGCTACAACTTACAAGACATGGATGGATTTTTACAGGCAAATCGGATCATGAAAAGGTACTTTTTCCAGGTAAGATGAGATGGATGTAAACTGTCTCAGAAGGTCTTGTTCTCCAGAAGAGTTACCTGCCAAGAGATACAAGAGGGTGTGGAAACAGGCAGGTGCATGGAGATAAATAATGCAGACGCTTTGTGCCGCAAATTACTCTTTCCGTCTGCCGAATGTCAAAGAAAGTACCAGCTTTTTCCAAGGAATTTCTTCTAAAACAGTTGAATCACTTCCTATGAGGTTCCTGTGAAGTTTTCTCCACTGCTTTTTAATCAAACAATTCAATGCTGTCATGGCCTTTCACGATTTCTGCCTTGAGGATTAATGAGGTAACATTATACACTACTGCTGTTTGTGTTTATATTTTAGGTACTGTCTGACTGTCTGAATCATTTTATTTAATTTCAGCTACATATTAGTTGCAGTTTTTTGCTGTTCAGATCAAGTGGCCTATCAAACATTTGGAAATTAAGCCGATAGCGATAATGTCAAGAGTCAGCCTACCTGAACCTAAGCCACTCTCATCTCTTCTTACATAAAATGGTAAGTAAAGGATGACCATTGTACTTAAATTCACACCCAAAAGCAATACAGCTACTTGATGAGTGGGAATTAATAATGTGTTGGCCCACCTTTGTGCCCAAGAGGTCACTTCATTTTGCTATTAACATACTGTTTCTGGCACTGCAGTGCTAAAGTTCATCTCCAGTAAAATCAAAAAACTAACTCTAACCTAATCAGAAATGGTTAGGGACATGTCCCAGCAAGCACCACACCTCCACAGATCTTTGGATCTTTTTTCTCCATGTCACGCTATGGCTGGTTCGCCTTATGTTTTTTAATTCAATGTGACACCAATGTACACAACGGTGTCTTATCAAAGGTCCCACAAAGATCACAGCCTGCTCACTGGATGGGGACATGCTCTCTCTCTCACACACACACAGCCCATGTGAATTTCTGCGCACTTCCGTGGATTTCAGTGGGACCCAGTGTGTGACCTTGATGGACACCATCTTTCATGGGCGAGAGATGAATCATCGATCCACATTATCTGCTTATGGTTTTAAACTGTAAAACTTTAAATCTGCCGATAATAATAATGAAAACATTCTAATACTATTGTCTTTTAGTGAAGACTGAAAAGATCGATGGAATACTTACAATGGGAGTGAACTCCTATGGTCAGACCACCAACCTGGGCTAAAGTTAGAGGAAATACCAGCAGAGAAAACAAGGTTCGAAAGTAAAATAACATAAAAAAAAGCCCAAACAGGTCATGAATCACAGCCTCTAAACATGGACACAAAGCTGGACGGGACTAAGTGAGGCAGTGAGCAGAGCAGCAGGGTTTACAGATCAGTTCATAACCTTAATCGAAGTTCCAGGCTGACACTGCAGAAAAAAGCGAGAGAGGAGCTCTGATTTACGCCACTCATATCTGCAGGTCGCAACATATTCCCCAGAAAAGTCAGCCAGCTGCAATCTGGTAACTGACAGAGCACTTCCATGGAACTGCATTTGGAGAACAGCCTAAAAAACAGGCTGTCACAATTTAGAAAATGGCACACACACACACACACACATATATATATATATATATATATATATATACATACATATACACATATCAGGATTGGGGCCATTATAGAATGCATTCATCAATTCTATTCTAAATCAGGAAAATGAACTCGGATATATATATCCCAGTCATTTGGTTTTTACCACTTTATTTACAGTAAACACACATTGCATCATTTAATCATCTTATTTATCAGCATGGTAATTTAACCATTGTACCATGCAACACAGTCGGCTCATAGATGTTCTCTTTTGCACGTAGGTGTAATTCCGTTATTGTTTCCCCCTATTGTGTACGGCTGGACTCCTGTTATTTGGCAGGTCCCTTGTGTTCAGAATAAGTTGGGTAATGTTATGTCTTAATTTCAGGTTCATTCTAGTTCACTGACCTCATTTTATTTGACCCAGGATTCTCCTTTGTTGGATATATTGTATTTTGATGAGTTTTGGTTCTTGAGTAAATCTTATGTTGATAACCAACTCTGCTTCCCCGTGTCTGCTTACAATTACATATTCAATTTATAGATCTATATCTATAGCACGGAGATTACATCAATCATACAAAAATACAAATCCCAGGAATCTCCTAATATGTTTCCAATAAAAATAAACCAGTATGGTAAACACATTTCTCTTTCAGGATAAACTTTCTTTTGGGGTAAACAACAAAGCTGAAAGCTCCTTTAGGGAGGCATGAACTTCTGCAGAAGTTCAGAACTAGAACACGATGGTCGACCTGCACCGAGGTGCACAGCAGCGTTACTCTGAACAAAGTATATTTATGGGAAGTTATGATGTCACCCTCACAGTCAAGATGGCTCATCAGATCCCCCACTGTGATGAAAAGGGACGTCATGGAATAGACAAAACAACCACTGTCTGCAAGGAGACACTTTTTTCTGCACATGAATCTTTATCATGTACCAGTGTGGAACAGATCTGGAAGAAAGTCATATTTTTACTGCTCTGTGTGGTCACATAAATGAAAAGATAGTTTTATGTTCCAGTCCCAAGAATAATCCCAAATACAACTGCTGCTTCCACGTAGGCATGCAAGAAGGAGAACAAGCATCCTGTAGCTTTCATGGGATGTGAAAATGCTGCTGGTCCGGTGACGCTCAGGCCCGGTCTAGAGAAGACATCGAAATAAAACCACTTGAATGCTTCAAATGTTTGCATTTAAAAGCAATAAAGTCTAAAAGGAAGCACTTCTTTACACAGCGTGTAGTCAGAATATGGAATAGTCTTCCTGATAACGTAGTGCAAGCTGAATCCTTGGGTTCCTTTAAATCAGAGCTAGATAAGATTTTAACAACTCGAAGACCGAATGGCCTCCTCTCGTTTGTATAGTTCTTATGTTCTTATTTACGGATGGGTTTGGACATGGGTTTTTATAGCTGATTCAGTGCAGCTAATTACTAAAAGCTTGAACGTGTCCAAAACCCCTGCATCACACTCCAGGGTACAACAAACCTTCTGCCGAGGTCAGATGTCAGCATGTCTCCACGAGCCGTTAATCTCACCTCCTACTTACATGTGCATCTCTAAAGTAAAGCTCTGGGGATACTAGCAGCCACAGAGACAACAAACACGGCTTTTGGAAAACAGGCAAGTATAAATGCTTTTATTAGTGCAGAGAACTTTGATGTGATCCGTACAAAACAATGCATAACATCTCACATGACTCAGATCCTGCGGCCCAATACTGTGAGAATTACATTCTGCATACATTCTGTGACTCTTTTAATAGTAAAACAGAACAACATGGAGCCATATGAATCAGTCTTCTTCTTTCTTCTCTGGCACCCAAAGACAGGGTCACATCTGTAAACCTGACCCCCAGGGGTATGTGGCTATGTGGCAGGGGGTGGGCAGGGAATCGAAATTCAACCAATCATTACTCCCCCCCCCCCGCGCCAAATCTTGCAGATGTCATTGAACAACAGTTTCCATGTTGACTCCAGTGATGACATCATAACAAACAGGCAATACCAAAATGACAGCTGGAGGCCAACTCAGCTGCTAGCTAATATGACTACTTTGGAACAGCATGATCCCAACAATGAAAAAACAACCCCGAATAAAATCTACAGTTACAGTCCTGTAAAATGCAAGCTGTCTGGCAAGACTGGGCAGGGCAAGAACTGTGTGCAATTCTGCAAATAATACGAGGAACATGATTCCAGTGAGTTAGGTGGGGCACTGTACACACTGTAACCACTAACTCCTCCTGAGGAGAGGTGACTAAAACACTCAGCAAGTTAGCTGGTTAGAGTGGACTGTCTAGTGCCGGTTGTTCCCACGTTCACGATGGGCTGGTGGCCCTGTCCTGGGTTGTTCCCCACCTTCTGTCCATATTCTCTGGGATAGGCTCCAGACCCGTATGACAACGACGGGACTAAGTGAGGCAGTGAGCAGAGCAGCAGGGTTTACAAAGCGATCAGTCAGACTATTCAAGCATCCTGCATCATTGTAGAATCAAGAAACGTCAGAACATGTACAAAAGCAAATGCAGACAAATCAAACATTTCTGGGTCAGCTATACAGTATTGTGCTACATGATTAAAAAATATTAAAGTAAACTGGCAAGACTCTGGCATATAGTGCGTGCAGTACTAATATAAGAAGGATAACAGAGCAAGGGGCACGGCAGCAGAAACTGGGTTCAAACGCTCTGGCCGTCCTGGAACAGCTAGACGTCAGCTTTGTCGAGCTGAAAAGGTAGCTTTTCTGTGGAAGAGGCCGGCGAGCTGCAGAAAGGGGTAAACAGGTTCTTTTCGGGAGTCGGGAAGCAGCTCCGCTTCTTCAGCCTGAATGCGGAAGAAAGAAAGGCACCGTCGGCAGGTCTGCCCTACGGGGACCGGCGAGAACGGACTGGAGCGCTCTTACGTTTTCCTGGAGGTCCACAGCAACAGGGGGGCTACGAGGAGAGCGAGGACGGCGACGGGCAGCACGCAGGACAGCAGCATCTTCATCAGTGCACTGGCATCTGCGGAAAGTGAGGGAAATCAGGGTGTGCTGAAGGGAAAGCGCAGTAGATTCCCCACCCGGAGCACGCTGGTCACCTGGACTTATTGAACCAGGCAGACAACGGGGAAGGCTCCAGTCGCTCCAGAACCCTTTGTCTGCGCAGAACATGTGCACCCTAGACCTGACCCGGAAGCAGCCGGTCTCACTGTGACTGGGCGCCTCAAAGGTGCAGTTCATCTCCCGCGTGATGCAGCTCTCCTGTGAGGAAGAGGAGGGGGAGGCTCGCCGTCAACAGCATCTGCTCCCGGAACGGCGTCACAAAATTTCACGGACTCCAAATTTTGCGGACACTGAAAACGCGTCGAAATGATCCTGCTCTTCACGGAACGTTCCACATGATGGCATGGTGGCTCCGGATATGCAACTGAATGGCACCAATTAACGCTAACGGGGGCTTCTGGGAAACGTACCCCTGGACGCTCAATATGGAGCTGATCACCCAATCATGACGGTTAGAGGGATGGTGCCCTGAAACACGTACAGGACAGGCAGCATCCGGACGAATTCGGTGCTGTTCAAGACGGTACCACCAGGATTAAAGGCTTCGATAAGGTTGCCAAATAAATTACATAACAAACATTTTATTATGTCCTGTTTAGGTTGAGCTGCTGTTACCTGTTTTTCAGCTCTGTTTGTACTTATTTTATGTCTGTGATCAGTGTTTAATATGAAAATGTGGAGCATAGTAGCCGAAGGGGAATTTTCCAGCATGCTGTTGAGACCAATGCATTTCCGGAGAATTTCTCCCGTGCTGTACGTCCTTCGGGCTAGAGGGACTTTTGCAAACCAAAATAGGTGCCGTCTGAAATAACAAGCATCCTCCACATTTGTTCAAATCTGCAGTGACACGTTTTCCAAAACAAGACACTTCTCAGTCTTATCAACGCCATCTCAGATTCAAGTTTCTGTTGAAAATGAATGCTACTGTGATATTCAAGACTGTCATCGGAATGCAGCTTAACGTATACGTGTCAAAATAAGCCCTTGACAACCTTTGAAAAGGATCAGGAACATTGTGTGTCACTCTCTGAATTTGTTTGGCAAATGCACGTCACACATTAACGGAAAATATTAACTTGACATGTCCAGCTGTCATAATTTCAGGGAGCAGCTTTCTGACAAAGTATTCTAATCATGACTGAAAATCAAACTGATAGCAGAAGATGAGAATTTGCATACCATGATACCATCCAGCAGGGACTCCACCTCAAATTCCAGACATCTGTGGTAGATTCTTCCTTCAGGTGGTGACCATTCCACAGTGACATTCCCATCAGGGTGTGCCATGAGCTTCAAAGTCTCAATAACAGATGGTTTTACTACAAGAAAACACACAGGTCTCTGGTTAATTTGTTCCCAGATAGGGAACAATCCAGGATGGGACACCAACCCATCGCAGGGCATATACACCTACAGGCAAGTTGGGGACTCCAACTGACCTTAGAATGTTCTTGAATTGTGAGGGGGAAACAGGGTACTTGAAGGAAACCCCACAACGATATGAATGTGAAGACTCCAAACATGGAGCCAGGGTAGAGACTCAAACCCCAGACCCAGAGGTGTGAGTCAACAGTGCTAACCACTGCACCACCACACCATCCTCTCAAAAACGTGCTTTTCCTTTAGCATTTTAGTACTTGTTGAACCCTTCGGTAGTCACCGTGACTGCCTGCTTGGTAAACCTGGGCAAAAAGGTCGTTTTGCATAAAGCATCAGTTGAGAAATCAAATGTAAATAAATGATAATGCACATGGCTATTTGCTGAGATGTAAGCACACCGGTGTGCTGAGCTAGCCAGAAGAGCGGGAGCTAATCTCCAAGCAGCAGAGGTCGCATTAAATGAACATTTTCCATCACTGACATAATATTTTAGCCAATGATGGAAAAATCTAGAATATTAGAACACTAGTGAGGGCGATCTACTGTTACTTCAAGTAATTTGCACTCCAGTTCCATTGGTGGTGAGTATGCATATTCATTAGCCATTTTCTAGTCTTGTCTTTGATCTTCCGTGCAAGACCTCATTGTCTCATACCAAGAAACGTGCTGATTGGTTGACCACAAGCACTAGCGCTAACTTGGAAGTTACGTGGAAATGGTAAAAAATAAAAGAGAAGTAGTGAAGCAAAAATTGAGCATATGCAATTATTTTCTTACTTCAGTTACATTTAATGCATTAATGAATACCTTGCTTGGTGTTGGCGGTGAAACTTGCCAGCGCTTATTGACAGAATAACGTGACATCGTATTTTTATTCTGTGGAAAACGAAAGCTCGATCTACTGGCCAGATGTAGCAATAAATTCTAGACATGTCGCGGGCCGTATAAATTAAAAATGTTAAAAAGGCTGTGTCCCGTCCCGTCCCCGCAATAGCTAAAAAAATTACTTGTTCATCCTCCACTGTTTTGGCGTGGCGTTTCGAATGAAATTACGTGTGAAATTTAACCTTCGAGCTTTTTTGCGTCTCTCGTGCTTATTTAGAATAAAGGTCATAGTTCCTGTTGTGCGGTGGGAAAGCGGCACAGGAAAGTTTCCAGGAGCTACTGAAGTCGCCGGCTGAGACGGCTCAGGAACTCAGAACCAGGAACCAGCTTCCGAAACTTCAGCGGGCAAGTGCCTATACGGATGACGTTTATCGGCCAGCGGCAGGACAAGCTGCGGTCCACAAAAAGTAATTTGTCTGCTTGGTGCGGAGTTGACATGAAAGGGGACTGCACGGTTGGTGTCTGTTCTTTCTTTGCCCTTACAAACGCATTAACTGAAGCTCATTCCGTATATCAGTTATTTTAAAAATAAAATGCTAATAAATGTCTTATAAAAAAATGAAAATTAAAATGGCAGAATTTTTACAACCCTGTCCGGCAAAAAGACAGACAATGTGCAAGTCCAACACAGCCTCTGCTCTGCACCTACCAAGATTCTGGATCTGTAAGCTGAAGTAGGCCGGCTGCAGGGGCCTGTTGCTGGACGATCTGTTCACGCAGATGTTGAAGTCGGAGAACTCGAGCAGCATGTCCAGAGGGAAGCTGCAGCCAACTCTTTCTGCGCCGGAGAAGATGTAGCCTGGACACTCCAGGGCTCGTTCCATATTCTTGTGCCTGCAGGTGGGAAATTAACTGACGTCACATTTACTGTAAATCCTCATGTACAACATAGCTGATGAACATGACCAAAGCACTACAAACGTTGCAAACGTATCTTCTCAAAACTCTAAACAAGTGCCCAGTGAAACATGATTGGTCCAGAGTTGGGGGCCAAGGGCCTTGCTCAAGGGCCTACGGACATACGACTATTCTGCCAAAACCCGGTTCGAAGCAACGACCTTCCGATCATAGCCCACTGAGCCACACTGCAACCAAAACACGAAATTAAATCTTGCGAAGATTAGAAAGAACAAGGGGAACTTGAACTGGCCAACAGTCCATACCAGTAGAAGAGAGACGTTTGGGTGGGTCCTGGCTGGTCTCCAGTCTCATTCCAGGTACATTCCATGAACTCTTTACGATGAAAGATACAGCTAAAGCCAGCGATCTTTGGCCCGATGTCTGCAGAAGTCCAAACGAACACAGAAAAACGGAGAGTTACGCAAACACGCAGTTTGATGGCTGTCTTTGGACTTTCTGCTGCCTTTGTTCTGAGAGGGATATCCTGTGTACCTTAGTCCATGGTTTGAAAGGCAAAGAATCTGTCTTGCTAAATGTTAACAACCTATCCAAAAGAAACATTGTACAAGGCAGTCCCAGGTTACAAACAAGATCTCTTCCCTAAGTCTGTGTTTAAGTACAATTTGTAGGTAAGTTGAAATAATAATAATAATAACATATAATATAACTAATATATATATAACTGAAGCTGATGTTTTGCAAAGCCTAGCTAAGCTCAAAATAAATAAATC